TGATGACGCGCGGTGATGACGTCGCGACTTTAGCGACGCAATTTAATCTCCGCTATTTTGCGTAGCGCGGTTTTGTCGTGCCACGAGACTCCTTGTCCACACTGATCCACGTTTTAAGTGATATAAGGTTACTAAAAAGCTTTACAAAAATAAACATTACTTCTGAAGGCTGAATTTCATAGCTTCTCTCTCCTATACAGCTACTTTAAGCTTACAGTCTCTTGCAAAGTGCATATTGAAGTCTTTCTGTTAATACTAATCAGATATTCTTTGGGGGTTTTTTTAACTTCCATGTCAGATCTTCCAAAGATCGAGTGCTTCCGGTCAAACATCGTCCAGAAAACTTGTTACCTCCTATGAACAGTGATGCTTTTACCATTAGGTTGAAACTATTTCACCTACCATATTTTTCGGAGTATAAGATGCACCAGAATATAAGATGCACCTTAATTTTGGGGGAGGAAATTGGGAAAAAAAACTTTCTGCCTCTGTTCCAGCAGCGTCCATCAGTATTTATCTAGCTAATGTCTTTGCTGCCTCCGTCCCAAAGCGTGACTCCCAAAGCGGCCCGGGAACTGCGATGAAAACCGAAGTGGCCCAGACAACTGCCATGGGGATGGCAGGTGGGGCAGGGGATGGGACAGGGTGGGACATGCATCTTACTTGAGTCTGACAGCTCCACCGCTTCTCTCTCTTGGCCACTCTGTGCAAGGAAAGGTTTTCCCTGCAAAGACCGGCCGAGTGATGCAACGGAGCTGCCAGACTCTATTAAGATGCGCATTTCGTGGTGAGACACAATTTGGGGGTGGCAGGTGGGGCAGGGGATGGGGTGCCCAGCATCCCTGACAGCAGCAAAGAAGTGCCCCGGGAACTGCCGGACTCTCCCATTCCCTCGCTCGTTGGGGATGGTGAAGGTGGTTCCACCACAAAACCGCGAAGCCCTTATCCGTGCCGACATAAGTGCGGAGGGCAAATCCGCACCGTCCAAAGCGCTAAGGAAAAACGTGACCCTACTGCGATGACATAATCGCGGAGGGCAAATCCGCGCCTTCCGAAGCACTCAGCACCCTAAAGCTAACCCTAAAGCTAACCCTAAAGCTAACCCTAAAGCTAACCTAATCCTAACCCTAAACCTAACCCTAAAGCAAACCCCTAAACCTAATCCTAACCCTTACCTTAATTTAAATCGGCTTTCTGCTGCCACGCTGTTTTAAAGCACCCTTCTGTCGCCGCGCTGTTGTTGCGGCGGTGATGACGCATGGTGATGACATTGCGGCTTTAGCGACGCGGTTTTATCACCGCTATTTTGACGAGCGCGGTTTTGTCATGCCACGGGTGAAGGTGCATTCCAGACCTGAGGCCCAGCAGGAGAAACTTTGCCCAGCACGCTGCCTCTGCTCTCCTGGCGGCTGTTATCCAGGACGGGGGCACGAAACTGTTGTTGCTAGCAGTGACACTTAGGGCGTGGGCAGTGGGCCCCAAGAAGCGGCTGCCTGGAACCCTCTCAGCCCCATATTGACAGCCGGGTTCTGCTGTGCCTCTTCCCTGGCAGGACTAGGCTGGGGCCACATGTTGCTGGGCTCACTTTGGGCCTGCAGTGCTTGAATGGGCACGCCAAGTTACTGAGTCATCCCAGGTGACCATGGCTTGCTGGCTGGAGCGGCACCCACACCAGCATCGCTACTTTCTCTGGGGACCAGAGGGGAGGAAGGACCTGAAAGACACGGGTCTTTGGGAGAAGTCCCTGGTCTCCAGGCAATCACTCCACACTTTGGGTCATCCCGGAAAACCAAGCTGGGATACTTTGGCTGCCCCCGCTTGATCTCTGCCCACGGACTCCCTTAAAGTGGTAGAAAGAAGGAGGAGAAAGGTGCACGGCTCTTTCATCCTCTGCAGACTCGCATTCTCTTTTCAGTTAGCCAGATCTGTTTCAGGGGGCAGATCGAGCCAGCTGAAAACAGAATGTGAGTCTGTGGTGGGAGGAGGCTTGACAGGTGTCAGAGGGGCAGCGAGTGCTTGGCGGCTCCTGAGGGGGCCGAGCCCTCCCCGCTCATAATGTCTTTGCCCTGAGGGCATCGATGGCAGCTGCTTCCCGCAGCTCAGGAGGTCTGCACTCTCCTTGCCGCTGCTGCTCGGCCTCCTCAATGCAAGTAGGCAGCGGAGGCCACGGCATGAGTTTCCTTTGATGGTTGCGCACTCTGGGTTGCCAGCACCAAAGCTGGCAAGCCAGCAATCGGTCGGCTGCCTCTCATCTGCATGCCCTGTGTCCGTGCCCAGCTCCTGCAGCCTCACCCGACTGCGCTGTCCTCTCGCTTTTCTCCCTGCCTCCCTTGGTCAACAATGCTGGCCAGGAGAAAACAGAAGGTGAGTCTATAGAGGAGGATGAGGGCACGTGGCTCTGCGATGTGCACCGGAGAACTGGGAAGGAAAGCATTTTCAGGTGGCAGCGCGTGCTGGAACCGCCTGCCACCTGAAATACACTGCACTTTTTTGGCCTCTGCATGTCCCTTTTGGAATCGGGAAGGGTATCGTGGCACTACAGTCCAAAAACGCTTTCATTGAAAAGGCTTTGAACGCAATTCCCTGGACTACTTCGGAAACCAGGCTCTTTGTGAAAGTGAGGATCCCCAACACATGGAACCACCCGAAAATGTGACGTGCAGAGCGTGTGGGTTTAGCTACATTCAGAGTATAAGATGCATCCAGATTTTCACCCTCTTTTGGGGGGGGGAGGTGTGTCTTATACTCCGAAAAATACGGTATTTCACAATTAGGTTGAAACTATCCCCCCCCAAAAAAATATCAGCAGCAGCATTAATGCTTTTCCTAGTCCAGAAGGTCAACTAGAACTAGAAGGTCATTATCTTGGTTTCATGGCTTCAGCTGTGCTGTTTATACAGTGATAGATGTACTTCATTCTTGCTACTTTTATCATTTCATCACACAGAGAGTAGTATAGATATCTTTTAAGAAATGCAATATAAATAGTCGTCCAGTCACAAAGACATTGGGACCAGGTTTGCCATCACTAAGCCAGTGTTTCTCAACCTTGTCAACTTGAAGATGTCTGGACTTCAACTCCCAGAATTTCCCAGCCAGCATTCGCTGGCTGGGGAATTCTGGGAGTTGAAGTCCAGACATCTTCAAGTTGACAAGGTTGAGAAACACTGCACTAAGCAATGTGGTTGCAAAGTGATATGTCATGTAATTGTATCGCTTAGCAATGACAATCTCAGCAACCTAGTTGCCATCGTAACCCCAAGACATGCAGATTGTTAAAACAGTATCAGTGCATAAAGACGGGGGGGGGGGGGGGGCTTACCAGTGCAACTTGCAACCTTCCCTGCCAGCTTCCTCATTGGCTTTGCTTGTGAGAAGCATGCAGGGGAGGTCACAAGCAGCAATCACATGAGTACAGGATGTCTGAAGCAGAATTTCTGCAGTCCAGAATTTCAAGGACCACTCATTCAACAAGCAACTTTGAATGGTCACTGGACCTTATACGTTTAAAATGAGCCTGTAAGTCACAAATACGTTGAAGATGAAAGCAAAGATCATTCAGCCTTAGTTTTTCAAAAGAGTTTCATTATTTTGGGATACAATCCACAGAAATACTTTGTGTGACTAAGGTGTTATACAAATTTATAAAATAAATAAACAAATATAGGCTACCTTATTCTGAAGAAAAACAGAAGGAATTGAACATTTTAATAGTTTTTACTTACTTCATATTGACAATCTGAAGATGAATACATTTTCAACAAAGAAACTGTAGAGTCATTTTCAGGCTGTGCAATGTGCAATTTTGCAGAAATCTCAGTCAAAGAATCTCTAAAATGGTTAATTTTAAAAACTATTAATCTGCAAAGTAAGGCATCACATCTAAACAGAAATCAAACTTAAGATGGACATACATGCTACAGTCACAAGGGAGCAACAACATGAAACATTAACACTTAATTTAAAAAAGCATACACTAAATATTTTTGTGCAATCCCATCTTTATTTATTATATCTTAATCAAATGTATACCCTACTGCAATCACAAAAAATTCTTGGCAGCTCACAAGAAATAAGCAAAAATAATAACAATACATTTTATGACAAAAACCTCTAGAATGGTCCAATTTCATATTTTGATAAGTGGCCCCTTAGTTTCATTCAACTGCAAAAGAAACTTAAAAAGATAATACAATCTAATTAAAAACTCTATTGAATCCTGCTTAATGTTAGTCAGAAATAAAAATAATCAGACTAGGATTGAAAACAGCAAATGGAAGATGGAAAGTATTTGGAAAAATAAGAGTTAAAGGGAGAGATACAGGCTGTCAGGCCTGCAATTATATTCCTTTTAGAATTTTGGCCTGCCACACTTTCTCTTATTTTATTATGCTGTTTCATTAGTATAGTTGATGGGAGGGGGGAATAGAAAGGAGTAGGATTGTGGAATGTATTGTTATCATTCTTTTCTAGAAGCCAAGGTCATCTTTTGTCTCCGCACTTTTACACCTGATCGGAAGCAGCTGGGTGTGGATGCCAGCGTGGAAGAAGAAAATTGGACCATGTGATGGATTGTGGGTGTGGGGACAAGATCATGAACTTTTAACTGGGTGGAATTCTGATGTCATTTCCAGAATTGGGATTAACCCAGATGTGCTAAAATGTCTGCTTTATTAAATTGGAACTTTAAGGATTGCTTTGCCTTGGACTCTGATTTAATTCTACATGATACTTGGAACACTGACACAAGCTCTTCTTAGACTGCTGTCATTTTTGGAATTATTCCATAACATACAAATGAGAAATATCATGGCCTCATAGGGAAATTTCACCATGGTGTGTGTATGTATGTGTGTGTGTGTTTATCTGCATGTATACATTTTAACATTTTCAGGAGAATTTCCGTGAAGAAAAAAATTTACAGGAAATATTCAACATCACATGCATGTATTTGTACACCAATGTGCACACATGCCTACAAATATATTCAATAGGCTATAACTCTGAAATTCTGATAAAAACTGGTAAAACAAGAACCTACAGTGCCTTTGTTATTTTGTAATACATTTATAACTGCTTTAGATGGAACAATAAAAGGTGTTGCAAATTAAAAAGAAACAAAAAAGGTGCAAGAAAGCAAAAACTCCCCCCCCCTAAGAAAGCAACTTCCCATCTGCACCATGACAAGTATAAACAATTTCATAATCTCTTCACCTCTTCCTTGTTTACCTATTTGTTAACTAGGAAAAGGTGACAAATAGTTCTTCATCCCATAACCTATCTCTTAACACACAAATCAAATAATTAATGTTTTCTCCAATCCAATTCGCCCATAAGCTCAAGGTAAAGGTTCCCCTCGCACATATGTACTAGTCGTTCCTGACTCTAGGGGCGGTGCTCATCTCCATTTCAAAGCCAAAGACCAGCGCTGTCTGAAGACATCTCCGTGGTCATGTGGCCAGCATGACTAAATGCACTAGGGATTTGAACCGCCAAACTGCCGATCTTTCTGACTGACAAGCTCAGCATCTGAGCCATCACAACAGGCTCAAAGAGAACTTTAAAACAAATAAATGACTTCCCTCAGAAAATCCAAAGCAGTTTCTTTAGTAAATATCTCTTCTACCTATCACTGAAATAGTCATCTAATATCAAAAGGGGTTTAAAAGCAATATTTAACCTTTAAACAATAGCTTAAAAATTAGTTAAATTTTACTTCCACTCTTAACAAAGGACTACATTTGAGACACAGTATAAAACATATAACATTCATATGAACATATAAGAGCTGGAAGGGCTCATTGGTAGAAAAGTAATGCCCTACTCCCAATCAGAATATTCCAGTTGCCAAAGTTAATATTTGAAGATTCTGAATGACATAGTACTTCTCTTACTGGAAGTCTGAAAAAATAAGTCTAAGATACTGAAAAGCCTCGATTTGCTCAATTACATGGCCATTTAATTGCCACCTAGGACATTTAGCAAATATTAGGATTTTCATTTTTATTTTTTTTCAAAATGTATTACTAATTCTTTGTCCTTGCAATAAAAGGCAAAGGCTCTCAAAGCACACTTTAATCCAGTTAAGGTCTCGAATAGGGAAAACACATCATCAGTACACAAAAGTTGTGGTAAGTCTATAAGCTACCTTTGGGGGAAGAAAATTAGGACTGTTTTGATGGTAAGCCAAATAAATTATTCAGAGTAAAAGCACTTTTAGCCATCATAAAATATTGTACCACCCCCCTGGCAGTCACATAAATGCATTTCAGGTGTGTTACAACCAGCTCACCTTTACCACTGGTTGCATTGCAATTTGCGATGTTTTTTGCCTGTTTCAGTGTTTTTGCCTGTTTCCAGTTTGGCATTTTGACCATGATTAACAACCATAGATTTGCTTAATGATCATGGTGATTTTGCTTAACAAGTGCCACAACAAGTGTCTCAAAATTGGGTCTAGATGCCTCAACTTACTACCATAATGACCAGAAATCCGATCCCAATTTCTGTCAGAAGCCAAGATTACTTGTATACAATTTAAAAGATAATGGCACCAGTATGTAGCCCTGCCCGATTCCCCTTGCTTACTTGGTTAGGCAAATGACTGTGTGCATAAATTAGATTTTTTACTTACAACTTTCATGAAGCTTATCTATCAGAAGGAAAAGATATCAGTTTTGTAAAATAGGCAGAAAATACTTTATAGCCTATTATATTTAAACAATGTAAATAAAGAATGAGAAATCCTTACTGTGACAAAGTTAAGAAATCTTCATGTGACCATGGTATATGAAGTTGATACACATTGGGTTTTCTTTCTTAAGGGACAAATGAAAGCACAGAATGAATCATTTTTAAGTACTTCAAGTTTAACAAATCATAAGGATAATTGGATAATAACCAATCAGTTCTTATCAAAAGAACAATTTTGAACAGTAGCAATTTATTCTTAAAATCTCCTTTTGGAGTTGCAGGAGTTGCAGAATATTCCCAATCCCAAAAATAGAGTGTTGAGGTCCCATTACAGGTAATCCTTGTAATCCTGAAGTTACAGTGGACCCCCAAAAAGTTTCTGACAACCTGATCCCAAAATTACAGGCACTGTAGTACCCTTGTGGGTACATTTAGCAAATAGGACTGCAGCAATGGTGTAGAGCCCCTCTCCCGCCTATCTTCCCCCTTCCCCTGCACTGGCTCACTGCAAGCACTTACCTTTTAAAGAGTCCTGGAACTCTGGTGCTTAGGTGGGGAAGAAGGGCAGGCTGCTCCATTGTTGGATTGCGTGGTGTGATCTTGGAAGCGGCCACCATTTCCCAGCAATGCAGTGGCCTGTCCTTCTTCCCTAATCTAAGCTCCAGAGATTTTCAGTATGGGATAAGAGACATGGGATAAGGAGGAGGATGTCAGGCCCAGTGGAGTGAGAAGCAGACCCAAGGCATGCTGAAGAGTGGGAAGTGGAACACAGGATGCTTCAAGGGATGGGGAAGGTCTTAGGAGGCCCTGGACAGGCCTCTGAGTCTCTCCATGCTTCACTGAAAATCTGCATTTTCATTTAATGACTGTATTGGGAAGAGCAGGGATGTAAATGAGGTGATCATATGGGCACCTAACAGTTGTCAAAACTTCTGACTGTATTGGGCAATGTATTCCTACATCTTGAGAATGAGAGTATGCATCATTTTTATATTTAAAAAAATATAAGCATTTCTTCCTTATCTATGAGTTGCCTGAACTCTGGTATTAACTGTAGTAGTCTTGATGATAAGCCCTCTTCTAACATAGGCAGGCAAAAGAATTAAAACTTTCTCAGTGGTTGGTCCTCTACTGGTGGGATTCCCTGCTGACTGACTAATTTATGGCTCCTAAGTACACACTTTCAGATTAAATCTAAAATAGAACTAAGGAGAATTTCCCCCACAGTTACAACAATTAATCAGTGGAACAGTTTGCCTTCAGAAGTTGTGGGTGCTCCAACACTGGAGGTCTTTAAGAAGAGACTGGACAATGATTTGTCTAAAATGTTACATGGTTTCCTGTTTGAGCAGGGGGTCAAATTAGAAGACCTCCAAGATTCCTTCCAACTTTATTATTTTGTTATTCTGTTACTGATTTCAGTAATTTCTCACTTTGTTTTGTTTTGATATGACTAGTCTGATTTAGGAAATGATAACAATGCAATAAAATGTGCAAGTAACAAACAAAAAGCATTTTTACATATGAAATGATATTTAGGAAATAAATTTACCTTTGAGAATCTGGCATTTACTCTCTATAAAGATATTAAAAGCCTGGTATATCTAAAGAAAGATAACATACTATATTAGTATTACTTCCCAAAACTAATCCATATTAGATTCTACTAAACAAATAATGTATACACTTCAAAAATTAATACCTGACCAAAATGTTGTAGCTGAACAATGTGAATAAGGCCAGTTGAATTTAGTATGATTTTGCTTGAAGAAAATCCTGCAGAAATTATGGCTTTGTTAGTTAGAATTAACAAAAGATAAAAATTAAAATGGGTTTTAGAAGAAATATTGAATGTTAGCTGTATAGAGACGCACAAATTCCTTATTAATAAAACATAAATAATAAGATGGGAAAAATTAACCATTTTGTAAACATGTTTTGTTAAAAGACAAGAACATAGTTTTATTTATATCTATCTAGAAACAAGCCTGTTTAGTGAGAGTAATTTTCAGAGAAGTCTGTATAGGATTATAGATTTAAAATCACAATTGCAGGAGAAGGAAGAAGCAAAATTAATCCATATGTCAAACCCAATGAATTGAACCTACCAAAAGTAAAAAGATGGGTTACAGGGAGTTGCACTGTTCTTGAAACTTCATTAAAGAACTCACAGTCCAAAGTAAACTGCAAAACAAACAAAATTATTTATTGTCATATAAAAACTAATATGTGGATTTCTATCCATTCCAAATGTAGTATATCATTTAGAACTTGTGGTTGTTTAACTCAGATACTGAAGAAGAAAAACTCTGAAAGCTTAATCAATTATGTACCCACATCAGAGGTTCACCCACATCAGGCGAACCAGTAGTAGCGGCAGTGGGAGGATCCATCCACCCACCCGGATGCTTCTGCCCATGCACAGAAGCGTTGCACATGCTCGATCATGCTGGGAGTGCACCTGACCCACATAGAAATATTTCTTCAACCTTTAGATCTTCCAGTGGTGCACCCTTTACCATTGTAACTGAAACCAAGGGAAGGCTTCATCCATTATAAATATAAGATAGCAACTCTCTGCATTTATTTCAGCTATTGTCAAACAGAATAAGATTATTGCTGTGGCAATTTTGCCATGATATAATATGTAATTCATTTAGGATACTCATGTTTCATTTCTGAAAATTGAAAAATAAACTTTACCTTAATACCATTAACTACTGGAATATGAAGGACAATATGAGTCAAAGATGGATAATCTTGAAGTTTCAAAGTCACAATCTGAAAAACAATGCACATAATAATAATGCTTGAATATGTTTTTTAAAATTAAGGTTAAAGATTATCTAATATTTAATAGTGCAATCTATAATAACATTAGAACAAAACATTATACTAAGTCTGAGGTGATACTTTTCACAATAAGTCACAGATCTATTCACATACCTAGTGAATTTGTTTTTGAGGTTCAGAATAAATACCTTGACTGTTGGTAGTAACTCAGCATTCCAAGACAAGTCAATTGCTTGCTGACTGAAATGTATATTAAAATGAAAATATTAGAGGTGTTATATAAAATATTCATGAATATGTATTCAGAAAGAAATGCACAATAATCCATTTAAAACTAGTGCTTTTCTTCATTTGAGCAACAAATTTAGAAAATAAATTTAATTCCATTATTATTAATACTCAATACAGCAGCTGACATAGTAAAAACAGTGTCCACAGGAAGCAGTTTCTCAGAAAGCATTTATAATGCTATTTTTAAAAGGGACAGGAGTATTTTGTGGTATTAATTTGCGAAGAGACAAAGACACATGAAGTAGACTGTATTTCCTAATAAACAGTTGGACTCAACTCTGATGTATAATGAAAAAGATTTACACATTGCAAAACACAATTGCAATTTTTTGGGGGGAAATAAACATAGGATGAAGCTAGGAAAAAAAGAAGCAAGGTATCATTACAGCAGGTACATTTTGGAGATGACAGCAGATTAAGAGGCCTAGAAGTAATTAAAGTTAGTTAGTCTAACTAAGGACTGAGAGGGCTACGACTAAATTTATAGAGTGAGTAGAAGCAGTTTCGAGAGCAGAGTAAGCTGAAAATGACCCACCAGAGAAGGACCAGGGAGATCTTGGGAGGTAGATATTTGTGATTGTGGGGTGTGGACTGATCTGTCATGGAAAAAAAACTGTAGAACAGATGAGAAGGCTAGGAAGGTTTATGGGACAACCTACTGTGTTTCCCTGAAAATAAGACCTGGTCTTATATTTGGGGGAGGGCTCCGAAATAAGCATTAGTGTTGATTTTCGGGAAAACATGATTTCAGGGTGATCAGCCCAGCTGGGTGCCCCACTCATCCAGCACACACACAAAAGGCGGTAAGCATGCAGAGGCCGATATTGTCTGACAGCAGCTACAGCCCGCTGGCCCCTTGGTAGGCGCACTCTGGGGTTGTGTAGTCTGCGCAGCCAAGGTGAGTGGATTACCTGTCCAAGTAGCAGACGGCAGCAGAAGCACGGGGGGGGGGAGGCATGCAATCCAGCCCCACCATAAATGGGGCAGGGGAGGACATAATAAACAATGCCTTCCACTTGACCAACACACAAGAGCATAGACATTCTTCAACGGGGCACTTGCAAAATCTCCCTGGACTTCTACCAATTGAGCAATATTTTTTTCATCTCATCCCCAGATCTTAGCTCCATATAGCATCTGGGCTATCACCTTGCTTTGGAACATTTTAAATTCAGCTGCCCTCCTGTAGAATATAAAAACTTCTGGGCAGTTGTTAAGATAGTAATTAAACATATTTTCAACATAAGGAACTTATGAAAAGTGATGCCTAGGTATTTAAAAATGTAGCATTTCTCTATTTGTTGGCAGTAATTGTCCAGCTGTGTTCAATATTTCTTCTGCTAGACACTCCCTTTGTTTTAATATAAGTTATCCTCAGTTTTTCTCCTTTCACAACAGTGACCAATAACCGTCAAAGATTAATCCTGATACAGGAAATAATAACCATGTGATCAACATACATTAACAATGACTGTGGAGAAGAACAATTCATTTCACATATGCTATGGAACATACAATGTCTTTCAATATGTATGGAGAAAAACTTCATGCTGGCAAGAGAAAATGCTGTCGATGTGGCCCAATGCTGGGTGAATGTTATTTAATTTTAGTTCAATTTAATTTTACATACTTTTATGACCTATTTTACATCTATTTTATTTGCTCAGTATTGAAGGTTATATATCTAGAATTTGAAGGGGCTTCTGACATGAGTAAAAAAAGAACAGTGAAATTTTCCATCCATTAAGTGAGGGGTAGAAAAATCTTTGTGTCTTAATGGCTGCTACAATATCATTAATACGAAGTAAGAATGGAGCAAATAAACACCCTTGTTTTAGCTTCTCTTTCCAATAAAATAGGATCTGACAAAGACCTTTGTAGGCCCATTTTTACTCTGGCTCTAATTATTATTCGTCTGAGAAGGCATCTATCAATATCTGCCCTTACTAGTTTATCCCATAGTCAAGATTTGTCAACTGAATAAAAGGCAGAGGTAAAACCTGAGGTTGTTTTGTGTATGTTAGTATATTTCTGAGTGAGAATCTTCAAAGTGGTGCAGTGATCTTAATGTGCTATATCCTTTTTGAAAAATCTGCCTGTTCTGGGTGGAAGAATTTTGTTTCTTCTTTCCAATCTTTTAACTTATTCAGAAGATATCTGGCATAAAGTGTCTGCTGAGGCTGCCCTTCCACTTGTTCAAACAAATTAACTTCATCAGATAAGAATCTGAGTCCTGAGGCTGGATCATGGCATAAACATAAACAAAATATCTAGCAGGCTAACTGGATGATGATTAACAGGTTTTGCCCCTTTTGAAGAATGGTTAGGTTTCAATAAGCCCGCACAACAATACCTTATCTACTTCTGACAAAAGTCTAGTCATATACCTGTGGAGGTATCATATCTTCTGCAGGGGGGTTTCATTCAGTTACATAAATACTTCTTTAAAAAGGAAATTATTTTCATAATCTCATAAATAATAAAATACGCTTACCACTTTGATGAAGTACTGTTTGCACAACCAAATATCCAGCTATTTGTATCCTTTTATTTAAGAAGAGAAGAAAACAATAAAGAGAACATTAAAATGTATGTAGATTCCTACTGTATTTTTTTAACCTAACCTGTCAATAATTTACTTTAAATTTTCCTTAAAATATTTATCAAAAGCAGCACTGGCTGCTAGCATTGGGGCAAACTGCTTTTGTAAATATACCAATAGGTAGTCCTCAACCTATGATGACAATTGAGCCCAAAATCTCTGTTGCTAAGTGAGACAATTATTAAATGGGTTTTGCCTGATTTTACAACCTTTCTTGCCACATTTGCTAAGTGAATCGCTGCAGTTGTTAAGTTAGTGACATAATTATTAAGTAACTCAGGCTTCCCCATTGACTTTACTTGTCAGAAGGTCACAAAAGATGAACACATGACCCTAAGATAAAGCAACCATCATAAACGAGACATTTGCAAGTGCCTGAATATTGATTACATGCCCCTATGGATGCTGCAATAATTGTGTGAAAAATGGTTAGCATAAATCACTCCTTTCAGTGTCATTGTAATGTCACTACATGAATTGCTGTAAGTCAAGGACTGTTGAAGTGCTGCTAGAATAGTGATAGTTTTTTCTAAGAATGAAAAGAACAGAACAATTGAAGATTCTGTTGAAGCAGGCATTAAAAACATTTCCTAATACTTCCAAGTGCTCCTAATACTTTGAAATAACACCCCAAAATTTAAAAAAGATGATGTCATGGAAAGTTTGTGATCTAGTTTCCCATTATGACATCATCCATCTTACGTAGAGATTAAGAGAAGCTGTTGTCTTAAAATATTAAAACAGATGCATCATAATATAACAATGAAAATGAATGTTAGGAAGGAAATAATTTCTCACCAATATACTGTTTTGGCAGTAAATATGAGTGAATGATTTTCTTTGGCTTGAGAGAGAAAAGCTGAAATATTTTCCATCTGTTTCCTATTTAGAAAAAGAGAGAAATGCTTAGTTGAACATAATAAAACTATTACACTGATAAATTGTGCTATAATATTTTAAATGATGGGATAAAATATTGAAACATTGAAATTATTCTATCATAGGGAACAATGACAAATTGAAGGATGTTATCTGTTTTGTTCTCCATGCAAAAGCCACAAATATAAATATAGTGATAACTCATGGAAACAATGATTAAGCAAGCTTGCCTTGAAACTAAACTAAGGTAAAATTTGATACTGGTAGCAATAGATTTGTTTCAACCTAGCCCACAAATAATGTAACAGTTGCACTTGACAACTGGCTTGAGGCATCTTTTCCATCAATACGCACAGAGAACTTCAATATTTGCTTGCAAAATTCAATAAAGCAAAATATTTTTATTTGTAATCCCAAAGTTCAAGAGGGCACCAACAACATTTGTAAGGCACGTGCCTATTACATGCTTTTACATTTTGAAACAAGCCTGAAAAAGACAATTTAATATAAAAGGAATGTATAGAGGGACAATAATGTACTTTAACAACTCATGAATTCTATAGCAAAGAATTTAAATTCACCAGTAAATCTACCTACCAATACTATGATGATGTAACATAATTCTCCCTCAAGCTTTCTCTGCTCTTTTTATTGTTTTTATTCACTAATCCACTCGCCAAATCTCCATGGCTTGGAGTTTTTAAAAAAACATCCAGGCAGATGTGAATTATAAAACGAGACAAGTGATTTGTCATCAATAGTTTGTTCTGAGCTCGAAACATTTGGTTGTCTTTTTGACTTATAAACTTTTCAAACCTACAAAGGTTTTGCACATCTCAACAGCTAGATTAGATATGGGGAAACCTTGGTTCAATAATTATAATGCTATTTTCAATTCTAGATTTTCAATCAGAAAAAAAGCTGCAAGTGGTAGAGCAAATATTTTTCATAGGGAAGATGCTAAATTCAAACACCTCTAGCACTACTAGAGATGGAAAATAAACCTGCCTAAACTTAAAAAAGACCTCATACTTTTTTTTAAAAGTAGCTTTTACATAACCTAATAAGTAATTCTGTTTTAAATGAAAAGTATTACTTACATTGTATCCTTTGTAGGACCATTTTGAAGTTTTTATATTAATCCAAATGGATGCTTCTGGAAAAAAAAACACAATACTTTTCTTCATACTGTGTTACTTTTTTTCTGCTGTCCTGCAGTACCACACCACAATAATTTTGTTGTATAATCTAAAATAGCATGTCTCTTTTTGACATAGAAAAACAAATATTTTTGAAATGATAAAAACTAAATTCTTCTCCTCTGATTTTAGTTCGGAGCAGGCAAATTAGCATCAGTATCATTACCAAATATTCTTTTTCAAGCTTTCTATAAATACTTAAGGCATTTACATCTTCATATTTAATAGTTTAGTTGGAATAACAAACATTAAATCATGAAACACTAGTGGTTGCAATGATGAAAACAACATAGGAACCTACTTCAAAAGGGTATTTATTTATTTTTGGTCACACCATCATGCTGTCTGCTTAGAACATTATGACATGGAACAGCAACACTTATTTAACCTACGCATTTGCGCAGGCCCAAACATCATATAGAGAAGGAATAAGCATAGATATAGATAAATGTTCCTAGCAAACACTCCAGCATTTACAGAAAGGAAACAAAAAGTTACCTTAAGATTAGTTCACATTGTCTTTTTTTTTTTTAAAGGTGTATTCATACTGGAAAACTGCAGTTATAAACTTTAATGCCTGATCTTGAAATAAATTGCTTGGGTTTTCTGTAATAATATTCCCTGCCTTTGGGCTTTGCAATGCTGCAATGTTAGGCCAGAATTGCACATGAGATCCTTAGCAAAAAAAGAAGCAGCTATCTAACAAGTTCAGAGCTGAGACAAGATCTAATCTATGATATCCTACAGGTAGTCTCATTTAGTGACCGTTATTGAAACTGACAACTTGGTCACTAAGTAAAGCAGTTGCTAAATGAAACCAGTGGTACGCTTATGGTCGTATTTCAGCTTTACTTTGCTTTAAAGGCTTGCAAAGTTAATAAATGTGAGGATTGGTTACTTTTTTATCACTGTTGTAACTGTAAATGATCACTAAACAAGATGACCTGAGTGTTGTAATTCAGTCTCCTATTCTTTTTTTCAATTAGTTTTTAAATTAGCAACAGTGATTTTGAATATAAGATTTTAAATCATTTGAATGGCTTCATGATTTGAGCTTTGCAGCAGAAAATGTTCCTATGCTACTTCCCAGAACTTAAGAGGAAAAAAACTGAATGAAATATATTGATTCGATTCCTTTGGATTTAATGTTACCCTTAATCATCAAAGGAAGTAATACACACCCACACAGTAACACCGGACACACTAACCTGTTAACTCAGTAATTGATTCAGGTCTTTCTTCAAAGAGTTTTCCTGGATACCTTAAAAAGTGGTGATTCAGGACCAGAATTTTTCTTTGGGGATTTTCTGTTATCTATCAGTTAACAAGCATGTAAATAAAAACTTTAAATAAAAATTTTCTGTTATCTATCAATTAACAAGCATGTAAATAAAAACTTTAACAAGCTTTTGAGGTCTAATGTGAGGCTAACCATTAGTGATAATATTGGGAGATAATACTTCCCAGACACAAAATTAACAACTTTTCAGCTTCAAGCAGAATCACACGAGTTTGGGCACATTTGCAAAAAGCAACCACAATTCCCCAACCCCTTTCCTTTCTAAGCTAGACAGAAAACAGTTTCTCCTTTTGAAAAAAAAAAAAACCAAATGTTTTGGACACAGAGGTAGTATTATTTCCAAGGCTGCTCTATTCTCTAAAGCAGTGGTCTCCAACCTTGGCAACTTTAAGACTTGTGGACTTCAAGTTGAAGTCCACAAGTCTTAAAGTTGCCAAGGTTGGAGACCACTGCTCTAAAGGAACAGAGAAAAGGTAACTAATTTTGTACGAATTTTAATTTCTATGTTTCCTGGTCAATTTTTTCCCCGGTGTTTATGTTCTCCATGCATATTTGGAATATTACATATTTTAATGTAATTTGGAAGCTCTTTTACAGTAGAGTTATCCTAAATGAAAAGCAAATCTATAACCTGTGGCATCTGCCCAGAGCCTCATAATTTTTCCATGTGATTTCCTTTTCAGTAAAAATCTGTGATTTGAATAAATTTATTTCTATTTCCGCTACTGATGGGTATTTTGAATATGAAAGGGAAGTTGAAAAAGGATTTTTACTTTTTTTTAATTGTTAATTTTGTCTATATCTTGTTAGATTGAAAAATATTTATGCCAAGGCTGGAAGGGAAGTTAGATATGAAGTGAGCTTCTTAGAAAGCACATTGAGATTCTTACACTTTCATTTTATGAATTCGGCCCTGCCACTACAATGGCAGTAACAGCCTGGTTAATGAAAAATGTATTCATAATTCTAATGAGATCTGTAATGTAGGTACCATTCCTATCACTATTATCTTCGTTTACTTGCAGGAATGTAAAAACAAACAAACAAACAATACATGCTTTTTTCCACAAAGGATGCACAGATCTTCAAGGAATGCAAACCTGTTTAGTGTTATCGTCAATAAGGTCAAAAAATGCTCTGACGGTAGCCAAGTTCAATTCCTTACACCTGAAAAAGAATGTAAGGGAAAAATGCTTGTAAAAAAACAGACAAATTAAAAGTCAAATAATAGCCAAATAAAAATATTTGAACAGCAGTATATCAGTCTTTGTACCAAAAAGCCTTTAACTACTCACCAAACAATGGAAAGATGGTCTGTGGAAGCCCAAACTCGAGGAACTGCTGAACTCTGATTAAAAGAAGATATGTATTATTCATTTTAAAACTGAACATCCAAACATTTATTTATTTACTAGAAGCTAATATCTTGCTGAAAAAAATACGGTTGAAATCCTGCTAACATTGTTATGACTAAAATCCAAAAACCAAGCATGTCATATGCTCCCTCTTTGAACAGCAGACAATTTTGCCTTATTATACTTTGAAATATCTGCCCATTTTGCCATTTGGATGCTGCTGTACTGTTGTTTGAGAAGCACCAGGAAAATATGGTCTTACATACTTCACATAAGAGTTCTGTATTATTAATTTAAACTGTGTGCAGATTCATATTTCTTTATTGATGCAATGAATTTGTGAGATGCCTCATTCACTGAAGCAATAAAGATTAAAAACCGAAGTACAATTATATAAATTGGATAGCAACTAATTCTTAGCATGAGCAACAGCTTAGTTACAGCTAATATGTTTTAGACACCCTCTTTTAAACAGGTTCTTTGTTCAAGGGATTTGAAGTAAAATCCAAGCTAGACGTGGCAAACAAATAAGAACATTGTGGAGTCTTTGTTTTCTGAGTTTGATTGTTTGCTTGCAAACATTTCATTACCCAATTAGATAATAATCACCAGTGCTAGTGAAGGTGCATTTTACTCCCTGTTTATATATAGTAGTTTCACTTTACTAATTTAGTAATTAAATATCTGTAAAAAAATGATCAAGTTCAACCCTGAGCTACATATATTTTCTTCTATAGAGAAAATTCTAAATAAAATATAACGTGCTATTTCTTGAGGATGGAAGAATCTCCAAATAAATGTAGCAATGAATGCTACTGCTTCCACTCAAATTGAGATTTCAATTTAGAATGTCATATTCAATTAGGACAGATGTTAGGGCAAGAAAGAACTAAACTATTCAGGAATGTTAACAGTAATATTTAATGATCTTCAAAAGCCAAGGCTTAAAAGCAACAATTAAAGAATTTACCACAACAGATAAAGCACAATTTTGACTATTTGAACTGGGCAGAAAAGCCAATCCAGAGCGAACTTGATAATCTCGGAATCCTCCTGCTACAGAAAGGGTTGTTAGATTCTTTATTTCTTGAGCCTTCTGAATCCAGTTATGGTTCACGGTTGAGTAAAAATCTATAAAAAGAACATTCTTTTAAATATCTTTTCAGCAGTTTTGTTTCCCGAGGTTTGGCAATATCTTTAGTATAGATCATTTTGTAGCACATATCAGCATATATTATAATTCCTCATTTCTCCACTAAGCAATTTCAAACAAGAAAAAAATAAGCCAACTCAGCATGCCAATAAATCAAAATAATAAATCTCATTCCGGAAAAATGTAGAATTAAGATAATTTAAATCTGGCAGGTTAAAGCCTCTATTCTACATAAGGTAATTTACAAGTTGGTCAAAGATAGTCTAAAGAGTTTTGCTTGCCATAAACATGTTACTATCTATATGTAAGAAATATTGAATGAAAACTCATATCGATATGCATTAATTTCAAAGTTCAATCATTTTAACAGTAGTAATCTTATCCCAATGTGATATTTGACCATATCCATTCAAATTACTTCCATACATTTAAGCACATTTCAACATGTAAATCCATGTATTTTATAAAAACTTTATAAACCTTAAATCCTACTCATACAGTACATACACACATACATAAACACATACGCACAAGCATACATATATTGCAATAATTTGGGTTATACGTTTTGCGGTTGTGTATAAAATGAGCATTTTATAGAACAAGGGGTTATTTGAACATATATAAAAATATTTTGACGTGGGAGATTGAAATATATTCCAGTTGTTTCCCTGATAGATAATGCATCACTTTGGACCAGAGAAAAATGTCTCCTATGTATGCATGAACTTAAAAAAGATAGCCTGGGTAAATCCTGGATGATGATGCAATTGTAATTTAATTGAGATGGAAAATGTAGCTTTATCTTAATGAATCTGAGATCCTGTGTTTGAATTCTGCTAAAAAATTTATTAAAGTTTAAAGTAAAGCTATTCACAATACATGAAATGTTGATTATTTTGCCTTCACAGGGTGGCTACAAATCTATTGTTTACTTGCTCGAGACCTTAAAAGGCATACTCGGCTATGGATCCCAGAAGAGATGTAGTCCAATTCTACTAAACATAGTGGGGAAGATATTCTACTGAAATGCCAGTGCTAAGCAAGGGGCAAATACTTTATCAGCTGGCTATTTTGAAGGTTTTGAGATTTTTTTTAAAATTAATTTACCTTCAACATGCATGATACCCCTTCAAGGTAGATCAGATCAGGAAATAGAGACAATAAGAAATACTGAAATTCTACTTGAGGTGGGCTTTCAAAAGAATGTTCTTTCTGTCCCTCTAATATCAAATAGTATCAATATTTGGCAATTTTGACTTTCTTTCTCATGCTTTCCTGTTTTCCCAGACTAAGCTCATTTTAATTTTCCTAATGGATTCCATATCTTTTCTGGAGTATCAGCAACATAATGAATATGGTGCCATTTAGAACAAAAGTTGCTTTTTGGGGGTGAGAGTGAACATAGAAGCAATTTTTCATTTATAGCTCCAGTATTATCAGGTATATTAACAAATTAGTTCACCCCTATTGAGACACCGATGGGTCATCCCTTTGATCTCATGTATTGAGTAACTGGTTTCTGATCTCCTATTCCTAAGCGAGACCTCGTGGTTTTATCGTTTTTATATGGTTCTTTCAAAAATGAAAGATAAAATACTGAAACATTGATCAGTTAGCTAATGGCATGGATATGGTCTAACTCTACCAAACTAGGCTTTTTTTAAAGTGAAGCCTAGACTGTGGATTCAGAAGAAATGCTATTTTCTCTAGGAACAGGATTATCTACAAGAAACTGGCTTTGGGCCAACAAGAAAAAGTGAGGATACTGTTGGGAGATATTCCTTGCTATCAAATAGATAAACTATCTGAAGTGGTGTCTAGTTTGATATGTAAGAACTTAATATTCATGCTCTGACTCTCCTAGTAATCTGTTTCAAATTAACATCAGACAAATAACCCTTGTTTTAATTTTTAAGAGTCTTGGATATGGATTTGTCACAGTATCATCCAATTGCCCACAGAAGTGCGGATCTGAAAATAATATCTGAAAAATTCTGGAGTACCTTGGATTTTTGAGAATCCAAAGTTAGTGATCCAATCCAAACATTTTGCAGAAATAGAATAAGATTGTTTTTAAGGCCGTCTTGCTTACGTGCAGGCACGTAAGTGACCGTCACTGATGCTGCCAGGACATATTTAAGTACAATTATTTCCATCCTAAAATTTAAGGCTACCTATATAGGCAAACCATGATTAAACGAATACATATTGAGAGAAAATTGTGATACCAACTTTCAAAACCGATGCTCTTCCACATTATTCTACTCTACAACACATTTCTGGGGAAATTGCTAATAATAGTAGTTATAACAGAAAGTATAACAAGGAAGTTTCTAGAATTTCCAATAGTGTTTTTCATTAAATCAATGGGAATGAAGCTTATTCAGTTACTCAAAAGTGACAAAGCAAAAGCAAAATAGAGGGGGAAGGCAAAACAAAACTTGACCAATCCAAAGATTCTTAGGGGTGGACTTACCAGCAAGATATTGATCTAAAGGCAACACAGGTGCAACATGAGGGGTCGCTTGAGTAATAAGAATATTGAGAAGTTCGGGTTTAAAATGTTTAAGAATCACTAGTGCTCTTGCAACAAGACCACCCATGGAATGACCTACTACTGCAACACTGCGGGGAGCAAATTCATGACCCTTCAAAAAAAATAAAGAAAAATAATCTCACATCAGGCACAATGAAAACATATAAAAGCACAAATTCTTTCCCACTTAATGGTTAACATGTCAATCCTTTAAGGTAAACCAGACTAAGAAACAGACACTGTTGTTTAAAGCTATCTTTATTAGAATATCTATCATACACGGGTGTCAAACCTGCCGCGTCACGTTGTCGTCATGTGACGTTTCACAATGTTTTTCCCATTTGCGGAGCTGGTGTGATCATGGCCTGCACATGATGCATCTTGCCCATGGGCCGCCAGTTTGACACCCTTGCTATAATAACAGAATCTTGCAAGTTTGAAACTGCTTCCCATGCTCCCTATTTTATCTTCAGGTGAATTGTGGGGGGGAGGGACTGTCTGAGGTGTCTTCTTAAATCACTTTCTTGATATGGGCTCAAGCCACATATATCTGATCACTGCATGGTAATGGAGATCTTCTCTCATCTTCGCAGAGATAATAGCACAAAACAATAAAAAGTTAATATACATTGTGTTTATCTTCATACCTTATATAATTTAAGAATTATTTTAATACACTCATGCACAAATCTCGTCTGCCTTTGTAGACTTCCACCATATAGTGCAACAAGTTCCTCGTTGAAATTCACACTGAAGACATCAAAATGATATTTGAAATCCATATCTTCTGCCTTTCTCAGTGCTATTGATCCAAGGGAACGTACTGGAAAAAAAGAGCATATATTAGAAGCAGAGATAATTAAAATCCTGGATTTGGATGGTGAAGTAGATCCTTAAAAGAGATAGGGAGGAGGCAGAAAACAAAACTATGAAGATTTGTTTTTAAATCCTCATTCTAATTTTTATGTCTTCAAGGCTCCAAGTTTAAAAACCCATGCTTACTACGCAGTGTAATTTGAAAACAACAGTATTATTTTGAAATAGAACCTTAGAAAAGTTGAAACATTCTCAGCAATTTTAGTGAGCTCCATGGATTCAGAGACGTTAAATAATTAACACCAGGGAAAGGCAGTTGAGACAATGGTGGGGATTCAACGTAGGGTACCCAAAAAAAAATGGATTATCTGACCCTTGTAGTCAGGATTCAGGCCTGGCTGTGGAACACAGATAGCAATTGTAGTAGTAATTTATTTTTTGCCATGCCCACGATGAAGATAGTGTATCTATGCCATATTAGATTTCTCCATGGCCTTCGATATTGTAATTCATGGTATACTTTTGGACTGCCTATGGGAAATTGAGGATAATATGTTGTAGTGGTACCAGTTAGAGAAGGGGGAGGACAGGGAAGGAGGGACTGGCCTGGTGGCTACTACTTTGTGTAAGTTAGAGATCAGCCTTCTCCCATGCAGCCTCTGGAAAAGGTCATCTAATAGTTTGGGATTGGGCATCATTAATGATTCACAACTGTATATTGATACTCCAGATCAGACTAGAATTTATTGAAGCCCTATCCTGATGCTTGGAGGCTTAAATTGAGAATCCTAACAAGACACTTGTTGTCCAACAGAGATATTTGTCTGCTCCAGTGGTCTCTTGACAGGGACTAGTAGCCCCTAATGAGCAAGACTGTGACCTTTGGGTCCTTCTGGATTGTGGCTCCATTTAAAACAGAAAGTGAAAACTGCAGCCAATGCTGGTTTCTCCCAGTTTTGGGTGGTGTTTTGGACTCTACCTTGAAAAGGAGGACCTTACTATAATGACTCATCCCCTTGCTACCATCCATTTAACTTACTGCAAAAACCTCTACATGGGTATCTTTTGAAGACTATTCAGATACTTCAGTTCATTCACAATGCAGCAGTCCATCTGCTAACCAGAATTTGCCAGAGGGAACATGATGATGATACACCAGTGCTATGGATGCTACACTAGTTACAGACAGATTTCTCAATGCCATTTTCAGTGCTCCTGATAATTTATATAATGTATGTGGCTTGGCTCCAAATTATTTGCAGGACTGTATTTTCTCAATGGGATTTGCCCAGCTAACTCAAGCTGTCCGGGAGAAACTACAAATGGATCTCTGCTTTAAGGATGTAGCAGTATTTATTTATTTATTTATTTATTTATTTATTTATTTATTTATTTATTTAAAACTTTTATATGCCGCCCAATCCCAAAGGACTCCGAGCGGCTTACAAATGAAATATAAAAAACATAAAAACAATACAATTTAAAACAACAATCATCCATCAAATTCATTCTAGTCGGGGCNGCTGGCTGGGGAATTCTGGGAGTTGAGGTCCAGACATCTTCAACTTGCCAAGGTTGAGAAACACTGCCATAGACTTTCAGCGGGGAAGATTTCCCCGGGGTCGCTAACGGGGAATCGGGAGGTCGGGGGCCCCGTTAGCAGCTGCGGAGGCTTGCATCTAATACCAATTTAAGCCCGTCTCATAAACGAGCCCGAACATGAAAAACGGGAAGGAGGAAGAATTCCGACTATCGTTGGGAAATGAAGCCACATCTTTAAAAGATGACGTGAGCGGCTTGTTGGACGAAACGTGTATTAGTGGATCATAACACTTATTTAACAATAAAATAATTAACACACACACGAAAAAGTAACTGAATTGAATTGAATTTGAATTTATTGCACTTATATGCCTTGAACTCTTGAACATCACACCCCCGAGCGAAGCTATTTGCTTTGTGGCTGCTAGATCCAGATTGCAAAGAATTCGGACAACCTGCTGGAGTTATCAAACTCTCAACTTCTCCCTGTCATCTCTTGGTCGTCTGGATTCAATCAAACCTGTTTTCCTCCTAATCTCTTACCGGCCAATCCTTCACCTGGCTATATAAAGCCACGTGTTATGTAGAAACTAAATTTAGTGGAGTTTAACCCAAATTAACCCTGCTTGCAACTTGTTGGCAGTAATATGAACAATGATCAATAGCAAAATCAAAGTTGAGGAAATGATAGGGAAAAAAAAGGACACAGGCTCACTGAAGAGATGCTGAGTCACATCTGGAATAGATTAGTTGCTACATCATACTGTGCTTGGCTAATAATCCTCAATTTACCACAAGTTAAATAATCCTCAACTTAAAAATGAGCCCAAAATTTCTATTGCTGAGCAAAACAGTTAAGTGAATTTTGCCCCATTTTATGATCTTTTCTGCCACAGTTAACTGAATCACTGCACTTGTAAGTTACTAATTAATTAATTAATTAGAATTATATACCGCTTCATAGGGCTTTCAGCCCTCTCTAAGCNCAAAATAATTCTTGATAGTCTCCTTCAAAATGGTGGGCATATGCTCAAGATTATATACTGGAAACTGTCTGGTTTTCTTTTTCCAATTTAGCTTAACTTGTAACTTGCATCTTATCTATTCTACAGTCAACCCTGGTCACCTGTTTGCTATTATAACTGAACAATTTTTCTACCAATCAGGAATGAGATCATAAGAATTGGCATAGAACCCATCTGAAACTACATACAAAAAGAGCAAATAAAATGGTTTCCTTGCCTTGAGATTCCATATCTTACAAAGTATATATAAAAAGAGTTCTGGCAATTTTCTTAGCAATTTTCCTCAAATTTGTATTACCGCATAGCTCTGTTAACTCTTAATATTTAAATGTCTTATGCCTTTTATTTAATTTCACACAAAGTATTTTAAACAACACAATCATTTTTTTTAAGATGACAGAAATCAGATAAACAAATCATAAAGTTAACCAGTACTTGTCTTTCCTGTTGAATTTGCTGTAAAAGCCCTAGTAGTTATACTGACATTCCCACACCCACCATACGTTAAGCTAGCTATTTATTATACTTAACAAATTTAGCCCACAGCAGCTTCCAACTACCAATTTAAGTCATGAGTACATCTGCAGAACTCTTCTCTAAAGTCTTTTAATAGTCTCCATTTCATTGTATTTAAAAAAAATCTGTTGTTTTGGGTAATAACACTGTAGATATATATTACCAGGAGGCTGTACTACAAAATATATCATTTATTTATTTATTTATTTCCTAAATTTGTTTTCCACTGATCTGTCGGGCTACTCTAGCTGGCTTACAACAATAAAAGAAAGAAATGAAAAGAATGTGAAAAGAAGTAACATCAAAGAGCATTAAAATAAACAATGAAAAAGACCATAACAAGAAATACAACGATATGATTACCAAAAGTTGTGTTGGGTGTGTGTGTGCAAGGGCCTATAGACCTATATCCATTTGCCTGGAATAAACCTCACTGAAACTATTACTATTGACTACTTTAATAGCGTAGAATTGTTTCCTATATAAGTTTTATAGTTGGACGTGTGTTAAATATTTACTTTGTTAACCAAACTTATAAGTATAATTGTTTTATTACAGGAATCCATGTGAAGCATATATCTCAAGGTCCTTTTCCATTAGAGGCATCAGTAAGAAACAGCATGTGAAACATCAAATACAAAGTAACCTGTGCTTTAAAGCTAAGTATCAAAGTTCTTAAGGCATCTCAGAAAGAACATGCTTTTAGAAAAGCAACATTGTGTATTCTGTAGTAGCTCAGTGAAGACCAACTTGAGATCCAAAAAGCTTATATACCACTTCTTCTCTCATTAACCTGCCTATTTATTATGAACACTGGATAAGGGCCATATCTGAGATCCTTTTGCCAGAAAAATTAATTATGAAATCAGGATGCTATCCAAGGCATATTTCTGGGAGATAAATCTGTGTTCTTCTGGGGAAAGTATTACAGTATTAGGTGTGGCTCTGCATTCTCAAATTAGGATTTATTACATAGTTGTTTGCTTTAATATTTTACTCTATGTGTTAATGTTCACCATACTTTCATTCCCTACATTAAAATCATTGTTTGTAGATGAGAGATATTTTAAACAACTTGGGAAGAAAAAAAACACCTCCAGCTTTTTGCTTGCTGAATATGCTATATAAGGAACATCACTATAAGCAGACAAAAATAATTTTTGAATAACACATAATGTAATTATAAAGGCAAATTAATTGCTTCACTTCCCAGCCTAAAACAACCACATGAAAAGAAAATGATGCCGTAGAAAAAGAGTTTCAGGAGCTCCTGCTTTTGATTTCCTATTATACCATCATACCAATTACCTGTGATACATGTCTACACTGGTTTTGGTCTGTAAATAGTGCATGGCATTATCCATAAGGGTAAAACTGTTGACATTATAGCCATCTTTAAAAGGAAGATGGGAAAAGCTGACAGAAAGGGAAAGGTCCAGCACAAATCTTTTCAGGATAAATTGACCTATTCTACTTTTGAAAAGACTGAACACTACTGCATTTTTAAAATCATAGCTATCATCAGAAAAAGATAGGAGAATGCTTTGAGAACTAGGAAGCCACAAGACAAAATACATTTAGTAAATGTTCAAGCTTACAATGGCACCGGAAAAAGTGGTTTATGACCGCTTTTCATAGTTACAACCTTCGCAGCATCCCCATAATCATGTGATCAAAATTCAGATGCTTGGCAACTGGTTCAGATTTATGACCATTGCTTTGTCCCAAGATCATGTGTCCATGATCAAGTTTGCAAACTTCTGACAAACCAAGTCAATGGGGAAGCCAGATTCACTTACCAACTGAGTTACTAACTTATCAATGGCAGTGATTCACTTAACACCTAAGAAAGGTTGAAAATGGGGCAAAACTCACTTAAATGTCTCCCTGAACAACATAAATGCTGGGCTCAATTGTGGTTGTA